TCACAAAAACTAGGTAGTTTTTTATTATCTCGAGCAGCAGACTCTCTATCAAAAAAGGTGGATATGCTCAAGTTGATCCCCTAATTAATTTGACACCTTGACCTACACTTTATTGTACTCTAAGTACAGCATAATTAATTTACTTATTTGGTTCGTATAGGCAAGGAAAAAATTACACACAAATAATACAAAAACTGATTTTATTCACTTATATATTATACAGTACAATATGTAAGTTGAGCATCCATTTAAATATTCATATATAAAAGTTACACATACAACAGTCTATACAACGAGACTTACAGAATGGAATAATAAGTGTAAAGAACAATAGAAAACATATCAGCCAAATATATTTAAAAGAAATATTATATTTATCATAAAGACTACAGAAAAGTAATATATCATTGGAAATGAACCACAATTTAAAAATTTGACATATCGATATCCAAATTGGAAGCCATTTGTTTTGTAAATTTTATATTTTTAAGATGTCTTTAAATGTCTTTAATAAGATTTAGCACTTATTAAAAAACTATATTGGGATCAAATGGCATCTATCAAAATAGACAATCGTCTGACAGCAGAATTGTCAATAAAAAGAGGAGTTCGGCAGGGCTGTGTACTTTCTCCACTGTTATTTAATATATATTCCGAAAAGATCTTTCAAAATGCCCTCGAAAATATTGAAGAAGGAATAAAAATCAACGGAGAATACGTAAACAACTTAAGATACGCAGACGACACCGTCATTATTGCGGACAGTGCTGAGGGTTTACAACGACTTTTGAATGTCATAACCAGAGAGGGAGATAGCTTGGGACTAAATATAAACACAAATAAAACAAAAGTGATGGCTGTTACACGTGCACCAAATGTCGACATTAATATTCGTATCTATAACAAACATATAGAACCAGTACAAAGATTCCAGTATCTTGGTTGCTGGATAACAAACGATCTTGACCACGAGGTCGAAATACGTGCTCGTATAGAATATGCTAGGTCCGCATTTCAGCGAATGAAAAAATTTCTAATAAACTCTACGTTATCGTTGGACATCCGATACCAATTTGTAAAAACGTTTATTTATTCCATATTGCTATACGGAGTGGAAACATGGACTCTCGGAATTACAAGTATGAGGCGTATAGAAGCCTTTGAGATGTGGGTTTTTCGAAGAATGCTGAAGATCTCTTGGACAGAGCACGTGACCAACAACGAGGTGCTAAGAAGAATGGGTACTGACAGAGAACTCCTAAATATTGTAAAAAACCGAAAAACGAGTTATTTAGGACATATCTACAGAGGAGAAAAATACAACTTCCTACGACTTATAATGGAAGGGAAAGTGGAAGGAAGAAGAGGTCCAGGAAGAAGAAAATGCTCCTGGTTGAAGAACATAAGAGACTGGACAGGCATGGACACACATGCGATACTAAGAACAGCTCAAGATAGAGAGCAATTTGCTGTAGTTATAGCCAACCTTCAGTAATGGAGAAGGCACCTTAAGAAGAAGATGTCTTTCGATCTCGATACCGAAACATCAAGGTTTTATGGGTTTTATTTAAAAAAATTATATTTATCTTTAATTTTTTTTCTTTGAATTTTAAATCTCTTTCCGGAGCGCACCACCTGTACGTACATACAGTAAGCATTGCTTATACTGGGTTGCGATAAATGACATATTTTCGCATTGAGTTATCAAAGTCAACCGAGCGGCGAAATCATCGGAAGCTTGTGATTGATGCATTCAGTGACGTATATGCGAAGTTGATTACTGCTAAGGTTACTGTTATCCGCTATTTCGTCCGCCACTGTTTCATAGACAAAATTTTAATTAATCGTTGTCGCTAAAAAGGGTTATTTTCAAATTCGCTGAACTGGCCACGTTAATTTTTGCATGGCTGATTAACCATAGATTGTCAAGGGTACAGATTGTGGGAACTTTAGAGCATCTAGAGCGAATGCTCGATATTTATAAAAATGTTAATATTTTTATCTTCAGCTACACTAACGTACAGCACACGCGGAATATAAAATTTAAACGCGCTTTGGTGAAATAAGTTGTAGGAGAGAATGAGAAGCTTCCAATTGTTTCGCCCGTTAGAGTAGTAGTGATAGGAGGCGAAAATTTGTCATTCGTGCTATTTGCTGCAAACTGATTATATTTTTTGCTAGTTTCAAATACACTTCACAAGAATGGCTGCAACTACGCCATTTTGTAGTATTATTCACTAAATACTTACTACCTTAGTTCTTATTTGCAATTAAATAAAATCTTTGAAGAACGACAGGAATTTTGTAATAAATATAGAACGACAAGGGAATCTCCCATCCATTCTATGACGTGATTCTAAACAAGAATGAAAGGATAGTAAAAGTTTAGATAGAAGAAGCGTGTATGTATTCTATGGATTTTTTTCATTATTATTTTTATAAGATGCTGATATTGGTGTTATTTTTAAATCATTTGCAGTAATACCTTCAAACTTTGCTTCGCTGTTCATTTTCTCAGGGTACTTTCCATCTTCTTTATTAAAGCTTTAATTACGATATTAATCTAATTTACTATTTTTACTGGAAATACGCCACAATTTTACTTTAAAATAAGTTTAATTTGAAGTTTCGAGATTTGCACTTCGGAAATCGATTTCATAATACAAAACATTAATATTTTTTAATAATTTGAGAACGATTTCCGAAGTGGAAACTGAAACGTCAAAATAAACTTATTTTAAATTAAAATTATGGCTTTTACCTAATAAACATAGTAAATTGTATTAAGATTACATAAGATAATAGCTTCAGGACGATCTTTATTTAGTTAAATATAAGTGTGTGTAGACGGAGTTCCCAATAGGTCACTAAAAAGTTTTAATCTAAAAATTAATGAACGGCTGATATGTTCAAAATTATTTTTAAAGTTATCAAACTAACTAAAACTAAAAAATTATATGATAGTTGCCAAAACTCTTCTTTATTAATTTGTAAAAGCATGGTATCTAAAACAAAATTATAAAAAGCTTAAGATTAACAACTCGAAGTCAGTGTACGACGGAGATGCTATAAGTGTTTAGTCTCATCCCCAGATGGCGTCACTATCGCAAGAGAAATTTACTAACGTGTAGTACAGCTGATTCCTAAAAAAACTGATACGATTTTGTAGAAAATTGAGCAGTGTATTTTGAAGGATAAATTATTTACATACTGTCACTGTCAAATCTTAAAATTTGTCAGATAAGTTATTCGCTTCAAACTCAAAAAATGGTTCCACATGATGGCAAAGAACTAAAAGCAAGGATTGTAACGAAGTTAGAATATGGTTGGTCACTATCTACGTAGCGAACCATTTTAACGTAAGCAGAACAACAGTTTTTAATACTAATAAAAGATGGAGAGAATAAGAAACTCTTGAAAGAAAGCAAGGTTTCCTCTTTTTGGAAGGGAAATAAATGTGTGTATGGTAACTCTTCTACTTCGATAGCGACCGCCAAAAATTGGTTTAACGACGTAGTTGCACGTCAGTTTTTAATAAGTCACGCCCAGGTGCCCGAAAACTGCTACCACGGAGAATAACGTATCAAAAATCCAATCCAATTTTATCTATTGGTATTCAGCTTATTATACATCGACATCTAAGGGATGTATCTTGATGTGTAATATAATGAACACCCATATACATACTTGAGCATAAATGAACGTTCCATACACGCCATCTTAACAACAGACCTTGTACCGGAGTGTAAATACTATTTATTTTATTTTAATTTACCTCTCACTAAACTTTTCCCCTATAAATAAACATAAGTAATATTGGCACTTTTTGCACCATACCTGATAAAGGATTTGTTAAACTTGTTCAAATTACAATATGTAATCGATTCAGCATTTTAAAATTTTACTTGACCCATCGTCGAAAGCTAAATAAATAGATTGTAAGTCTGTAATTTATTTCTACAACCTCGTTCTTTCTACAAACTTCTTAACTTAGTAGGCAACGAACTTCCTGGTGAGTAGTTCGACATTCTTGAAATAATCCTCCCATACAGTGGCGCATGCAGGGGGAGGTTTGGGGTTAACCCCTCCCCAGGTCGGTATTTCGACACAATTTTTTTAAGGACTCAAAATGGAGGTAGCATAAAAAAATTTCGGTGTCCAACCAAAACCCCCTCCACAAGAAAATTCTAGGTGGCCACTGCTTCTATAATACATATAACAGGTAATGGCCCACACAAACCAAACACGTTGAATCAAAGAGCCATTCCTAAGAACTTATAGTGTTTGTCCTGTTTTTGAATCCTCCTTTACCATCCAATCCGGATTAAGAGCAGCCTTGCATTGAAGAGGCATATAATGAGTGTTCCATCAGCCTCAATTATCGGAACAAGTAAAAAATAGAGGTGGGAACATTATTTGAACAGTTCCAGAATACAAATAATTGAAATAGTGCAAAGAGTGTCGCAAAAGTGTAAACGTTAATAAAAATTACTAGTAGCAAATGTGGTTGCATTGATTATCCTCACAGTCAAATGTTAAAGCATCATCACCATCACCCTATACACGTCCACTACCGGGTATCTTTCCCTCAGCTCTTTCCATCTGTCTCTGTACTGCTAACACGCTTCAGGTAGTCACTCCAACTAGTTGGTGAGCGTCCTCTGGACCAAATGTTAAATACAATAGAATAATTTAATTTTTCTGAATGAAGTTTAAAGATATACTAAATAAGCATCAACTGTGGTATTAATGTATAAAGTAAGCTTCCGGTACCCGACCATGTTCTTACGATGACTCTAAAGTGGCAACCGAAAGCTCAGCATAGTTAAAATCAACGAAAAAATTGTTTTAGGTCGGAAATTTCATTTTAATCACATTAAAGTCCTCTCAAACATATAAAACTTAGAATTCACGGTAGTACCGTCGAAGCAAGAGTCTTAGCAACACCATAAAACGAATTGGTTCATATTTTCCATACAAAACAAGTGAAAAAAACTGATAATTATATAAAGTAGTTCTTTAACAACATTAAAATCACTAACTTAATATCACAAGTACTCGAAATAAATATAATGGCATTCATGATGTAAAATATCAAATAAATACTTCTTAAGAGAGTATTCTGTAAGTCTTTCAAACAAAATCCTTATCTAATGTTCTTAGAATGTGGTTTAACAATTACGCAAAGAGGTACCGATATTGCACATTCTATAATGCCGGGCTTCATTTACAAAACTCTGTAAATTATGTACAAATGTGGGCATGTCCTAAAACAAAAGATACGAATTAATCAATCAATATTAATTTATTATACACTGTAAGGAAAGAATCTAAGGTAGGTATGCATTTACAACGGCAGGAAATGAGAGAAACATATTTAAATTAATTACTATTTAACTGGGAATAAGCCACAATTAAAGATAAAAAATACGTTTATTGACGTTTCAATTTCCACTTCGGAAATCGTTTTTACGATTATCACAAAATACAAACAGTAAATTAAACAAATTTTGTTTTCTGTTACATAGTGAAAAATTCTTCTAATAATTTAATTTTATCTGACTCATTTATATTGACAATTCAGACATACATTATGCATTTTAAAGTAGACGACTTTAAAATGATATTGCCAATATTGTTGAGTTGCGCTCCTGGGACGACTTTACTTATAAGATAGTTCATTCGATTACATGAAATCAACTTTAACTTGAGAATATCCATCAGAAAAAAATCATAGCATGTAATTCTTCTTTAAAAAGACAAACACATGACATGATGACAGTAAAATTCTCCTGTTAGTGATTCCATAGTAAATTATGAGGGAAAAACCAGGAAAAAACCTCATAATACTATCCCGACATGGTAAGTATTTGTTCGTGCATTTAGTTTACCTTCAATAAACACCAAAATTCTGATTTTATACGTTTCGTTATCCTCTATATGTTACTGACTTACTAATACTGGTATTTTCTTATTAATAACTTCCTCTTTCAATATTGATAACCAGATCCTACTACATTCTGCCGAGGAATTTGAGACACAATTGGCCTCATTTAGCATAATTAGAGCCGCTTCTTTGATTTTTCGTTTTTTACCATCCGTTTCTTTTAGGACTACATTTGAATTATTCCATTGAACCCTATGTTCATTGTCTCATGCGTGTTTATATATTTGAGATCTATCAAATTCTCTATTTTTAATATAAGATTGATGTTCATTTATTTTAAGATGAACCTAACTCAACCTAACAATGAACAAGAAAGGAAAAAGAATTGCATTTATAAAATACCTTGTGAATGCGATCAGTTTTATTTAGGTGAAACATCAAGGCCATTAAATGTTAGAATAAGTGAACATCGAGGAGGGACTAACATTGTTGACATATTTATTGTTTTTATTTGACCCTGTCGTTCCGATTGTAAGATGACTTAAAATCCATCGAAGGTAAAGGTTAGTACAGTAAAGAGATAGGACAGAATGGGTGAATTTCTAAAGAAGGATTTGGCTCAAAAAGTGATGTAGTGTCAATGATGATGACTGAAAATATCTGTAGTATTTCTTTTCTCTCTTTAGTGGTTCTACGATTTGATAAAGTTGATAATTTTCCTATTTATGATACCAAAGGCGGGTGTAGGTATTGCAAATCAGGAGAGACACTCTGGTCATGTTAAAGATGTTCCCTTAGATTATTACTGAATAGAAATTAGAAATAGAAATTACTGTTACACGCTTGCCAAATTAAGGGTTAAGTAACTTCTTATCGCGAATCTGAAGATATACCTGTTAATAATACCAACTATGACTGTCTTTTTCTATTTATATTTCGTTTACTTTTAATTACTTATTAAATAATTTTTCTTTTAAACTAATGATCTCGCTAACGTAAAATATAATATAATAGATAAAAACACTTACTGTATCGTGATTATGTTGAAAATTCCTCAGTAAAACTTCTTGCTGTTGATGGGAAACACCCTCCAAACTTTCCACAAACTTCCTAAGGAATGTTGTATAGAATCCGGTGAAATTCACAGCCGCCATGTTGTACACCGCCATTTGTACGTCGTCTGATAGTGACGACTGAGATTTGTCCAACAGGCAGTTAAAAAGAACAGTCAAAAATTCGGAGAGGAGGTGATACCTGAAGAGTATCTGTAAAAGAATTTGGCAAAATGAAAAAAAAAATTTTGAATCACTTTTTGTTTCCTCAGAAGCCAATGGTTTCTACAGATGATTTTAAATAAATGAACATTACATATATCACATGAAATGAGTAAAACTTACTGAAAATAGACCTTAAGTTTAGTAGTTTTACTTATTTCGCGTAATATTTGGCAATGAATTCGGGAAAGAATCTTTAAATATTCCTGGAATATTTACTCAAAACCTGAGATTTTATGTTTAAATTTTGTAGGTTTCAATCGTCCACGTGATATATTTGTAAATTATGGATAAAAGTTAAAAGATTTCAAAGTCTTAAGACTATTTCAATATTATTGTCCAATCATTGTTATTCCTTTTCAATACGGGTCTAATTTCAAAAACGCAAAGTGAGGCAGTATCTGGAAAAATAAGTGAGCAAGCTTGAATTTGATCCATAAAGCTATAAGGAATTTGCCAACCTCGTGAAAACAGTGCCATGGATTGAGTAACAAAACTGAAACACCACCTCCAGACCGTTCAAAGGTTACTTCAAACCAAATAGCTGTCTAAAACTAAATGATAAGACTGAAGGCAAAATCAAAAGAGACTATGACATGAGAACAGCAGTGCTTAAAATACGATTTTAGAGAAAAAACTTTACTTACTTTGTGATATAACTTCCATTTGGTGTTGAGATCTTCAAGTGCCGCTAGACTTATCCTAAAGATATTCATATCTTGTTGTAGAAGAGCTTGTCCGAACACCTGCAGTACGGCGAGGAGTTGTTCTGGTTTTTGGGGATGTTCGACGCCCGCATCGGAGTCACTACAGCCCGGGGAATACCCTAATCTCACTTGCGAAACATAGAAATACTGCCAACGGTGAAGTAATATACTAAAACAGAAACATACCAATTTATATTTGAACACTTGTTCTAAATGGTAAACTTACCTATACAATAAGGTAAGTAACGCTACAAAAACGTCAGGAGAGTTACCACCTTGCGAAACTATCAAAGGATAAATATTTTCCATGCATAATTGGAGAATGCCGGGTAGAAACGTTTTGTAACCGTTTCCTGGTGATTCGACGACTAGTTGCAAAATTTGCAACAACTTGTCTAAGCCGCAAAGGGAGCTTGGCTGGCGTTCGTTCATTGTAACCTGTAAAATATTTGTAATTTTGAAAAAATATTTCCAGATTGGAAATCGAAATGTCAAAACAAATGTAAAATGTAATTCCCATTACAATAAATTGTGGTTTAGTGCCATATATAATAATATATAACTTAAACGTGGTCTAAATGCAAGTGTCAGTATAAGAACGGTATAAATCCGGAATTGGACCATTATCATTCTGAATTATTACTCCACTTCTGGGAACGTGTTTTAAACTTGCAAATATTTTTATTAATGAGGATTATAGTGATTCTGGATCAGAATATATTCTGACAGGAATAATAAATCATCCGGTGAGTACTCATAACTTGACAGAGCATAAAAATATTGATATTTTAACAAAAAAAATGTCTGATTTATGGTTTCATATTGCAGTAAGCATTTTCGTTATTTAATTAACAGTAATTAAGTTTATCTTTGCTTAGTTTGTGTCCAAAGTGTTTAAATAACATTATTTTGAGATGTTTTTCTTTTCAATTGCATAAAAAGCATATTGTGATTGTTTCAGACTATGAAGTGGGCCTTAATAATGAACAACAGCCGGTGAAACTCACTGCAAATCCGATTTCCATCACTCCTGGACTAGAACTACAACCAACACCATCAATGAGTGCCCAAGCTGACATTACAGAAACTGCTCAGGGGAAGCAGTGATGATGGAAAAGTATTAAATAAATAAACGTTGAGCGATTTTTACGATTTTTACGACTCATGAGATCAATAAAATTTATCAATTTAATTAACCAATCACTATGAAATTTCGATATTTAGATCATAACTTCAAAACCTATGACATTAAATTTCGGTTTTGAGCTTTGGAAATAAATGTGAGGCATTTGAAATATGCCTAAAAAAGCGCTGAATTTAAACTTCTCATTACAAACGATCTAAAACGTTTAAAACTGCTTGATTATTATTTTACGAGTACGTTTTTCAAAACTACACAACTTTATCTACAAATTTCATCTAATATCAACTTCGTGGAAGTCTTTCCCGCGACGTGTCTTTGTTTTGCTTTTAAAGTTTCTGTAAAGTAAAATAAAGTAAATTCTGCTGTTTTAGGCATATAACAGACATTCAAAATGAGCGGTCGCTTAAAGCTTTGTTTCCGAGAGGACGGTTCATTCTACGGAAAAAATGCTAATAAACATTTTTGTTTAGCTACAACTTATTTCAGCTACATTTTTATTTAAAACATTTTTTTACAAATTTTTGGTAAATCGATTTTTTTCGGTCCCCCCCAATGGGGCCGTTTTAGGGAAAGCCTAAAACTAGTAAAAGGAGTAAAAGTAGTAAACTTTTTTGCATCTTTTTGAAATAACTGGTACTTCAGCTAAAGCATATTTAAATAAAAAGTCAGTTTGTATTGTTAAACTGCTACAGATCTCCTTCTGGTAAAATACTATAAAAGAGTTCATATAAAACGAATTCTAACTACAATACACTTGCTATTGCACACTCACACTTTTACGTAAATTTGATTTTGATAAATTTAATTATTTTAATTAAGTTGGGACTACTGCGTTATTTTGTACTATTTTCTCTTCACGTTAGTCCATATAATCCGATGTCTAAATTATTCAGTTGCATTATGACCAGTCCTACATATTTGTTCAGAAATTTCTTAGCGCTAGAGAGAGAATACTAATACATATAATTTGTAAAAATCCTTTAATACCTCTCACTCTCACTCTTACAAAAAAAAATGTACACCACTGGAAGATCAAGAATAACTCAGAATGGTCATAACCATTTCCTGGAATTTAGTGTCTTCATTTTTGATACGCAACTATAGCACAACATTATTTGAAACAGAGCTAAATTATAGTACTATCTGATTACTTACTTGCATGAACACCTGCACAGCGTTCTTAGTCTCATCGACCCCCAATTGCTGTTGCAGCACTCCCATTACGTTTAGAAAGAATGTAAGTACGTGATTGCTGACTTCCTTATACCTGACTAGAGATGGGAATAGAAAGAGTCCGTGTTGTATTGTCGGTTTCAAGGAGGCGGTGAGAAGTTTCTTAGAAGCTATGGGGAAATGTCTGCAGCTTTCGACTATCACAGATAAAGAGGGTAGTACGGATTCGACGACGTTTTGCATTCGATCTTCTCGTGTGTCCAATGTCAATTCCCTGGAAGGTGTTCAAAGAGGTTTAAAAGAAATGTATAAAATTTATTATTCATGAATATTGTGAAGTGATGTACTGTTTTGTCAATGATACACACAATTGTACATAATAGTATACATAATATTTAATGGCCAATATAATTGGAGTATAAGCACTAGGGATGGTTGGAACAGGGATTTTTCAACAACTGTTACAACCTGTTTCAGTTCCAAAAATTATCTGTTTCAAAAGAACTGCTTTAGTTCCAAACTGTTCCAAGTCTAACACTGTGTTATGGGTTGTCTCAGTACCGGTTCGGTTTGTTCCAGAAAGGTTGTTGCATTAACAATAGACCATTGTATTTGTGGCTGTATATTTTGAAAGTTTGAAGTTTTGTCGCGAGTCAACAATTCACAGTTTACAATCATGGTTTATGCGCATGCACATACTTTCCACTCCACTGGAACTGCAACAACCATATAAAAGCACAACAATGCAACACCGGTCTCTGAAGTAATTGTAACTGTAATTGTAACACTGGTCTGTTGTGTGATAAAAAACTGTTATATTGGGACAGGAAAACTTATTGATCAATATCTGTTCCAACCTGTTCCAAATAAAATCCTGTTTCGAAAAGAACAGATCCTGTTCCAAAGTGGCATCTCTAATAAGCACGGGTACTCACTCACGAGGCAATAGGCCTGAAAAAGGTTTTCAACTAGTTTTCAACCGTTGTTTTAAAACAGTTGCGACTTCAGCGCTGGACCTTAATACAGTCCTCTTTCTATAACGATATGCAAGGGACCGGGAATTTTCATCGTTATAAGGAGAGATCGTTATACAGAGAGAGACAAAATTCGGTACTGTAATATTAATAATACTGTACTAAATAACCTATTTTAATTTAAAAATTATCAAAACGAATCTAAATGAATTAGCATTGTATTCCACACAGATTGATACTGTACAATAAAAAAAAATAGAATGCTACTGTAAAATATATTTAGCCTACATTATCAAAAAAATCTGTCACCTTGATCTGTCTTCTTTTTCCTTTCCACAGAACTGACCTGACCTTGTCCTGAAGACGCATCGAATCTTCCACAGCACTCATATCGTCTTTCTGGTGGATGAAAAATCGATACAGTACTTTTGCCGCATCCAATGCCTGCTGAGGGGTCGGAGCTGGTTGTGGCTCTGCTTCCACTTCAGAGTCACTGTTTTCTTCTTCTTCTACACAAACTGTTTGCAGGATGTCCTCGTCAGAAAGTCCAGAGGTTGTAGCTACATTTTTATCAACTTCTTCAAAATCTGTTAGCTCTTCCGGTCCGTAGGTGATAGTAAGTTCAAACTGTCTGGCCCAAACATCTAATGGCAGGTCATCTTCATCATAAGTCAATCCTTGATCTTCCAGCCATCCTGTGTGTTTGAAGGAATGTTGTATTGTATTGCTCGTCACCTCGTCCCAGGTTTACTAATCATTAGGATGGCGTCAAGAATGTTTAGTTTAACATCGCCATTATTCTCAACCAATTCCATCAAAAGTCTTCTCCTGTAATGGTTTTTCAAACTCTTGATGACACTTTGGTCCATGGCCTGAAGGACACTCGTTATGTTTGCTGGCAGAAAACAGAGTTCGGTGTTTTGAAGGTCGCGCAATATAGGATGAGCAGGACAATTGTCTACAAGCAAAAGAATTTTTTTCCCTTTTTAGCTCGATATCCCACTTTCTTATCGCTTCTTCAAAAATTTCCGAGGTCATCCACGCACTCTTGTTTGCTTTATATGTCACCGGTAGATTTTTTATGTTTTTAAAGCAACGCGGGTTTTTCGACTTCCCTATCACTAACAATTTTCGCTTCACCGAACCTGTCATGTTAGCGGCTACTAAAACTCTAATGTGTTCCTTAGAGAACTTTCCACCAACGCGCTTTTCCAATTTAAATTTTAAAGTTCTGTTGGGTGTCATTTTAAAAAACAATCCAGTCTCATCCGCATTGAAAATGTCGTCTGACGCATATCGTGATTTCAGTCCAGGCCACACGTTTTCTAGCCAATGATCCGTTACGTTTTTGTTAACATCGCGAGCCTCTCCGCTGATTTGCCCATAGTTGATCTTGTGCCGCATCTTCCACTTGCTCAGCCAACCCTCAGGTGCCTTAAAATTCTCAATTCCAAGTTCAGTTGCAAAAAATTCAGCTTTTGTCCTGACCACAGCCCCATAAAGTGGAATATGGTTCATACGCTGCTACTGGAACCACTGAAGCATAGCGCGATCTAAATCTTCGTGCTGAGGTTTCCGCAACTTCTTCCTGCTACCGCCCTCTATCTCCGTTTTAAGCCACTTTTTTCTGTCCTTCCATATCGTAGCCACAGTTGACTGAGATAGCCCCTTCCGGTGAACGACATCCGATTGCTTTTCACCTTTCTCTATTGCTCGAGTTATCGATAGCTTTTCCTCCACCGAGAGCACTTTACGCTTTTTCGAAAACATGTTGACCGTTGGCACACTAAGACACAACTCAAACTGGAAATTAAAAGTCGTCAATAGATGACAACATCTGTATGATAAACAGTTAGTTACGCCGCCCGAACAATAAACGTGAGTCACTTAACCCTCTGATAAGAAAGAGTATAGGCCGCATTCCTTAAGCGCAAAACAAAACAACCGCTGGACAATGACCTTTTCATTCGTGACTCAGGTAGTCTGAACTTTATAAACACAACAAGTCATTTGATTTGTCATCAACTATTGAACGCTAAAAAGTTATCGCTATAAAGAGAGAACGATATCGGTATAGAGAAAGAATTAATACATTGTTCTTATAACGAACCAACCAACGTTTACTATTTTCATCGTTATAGAGAAATTATCGTTATATAGGGAATCGTTATAGAGAGAGACTACTGTATATTAAAATAACAAACACACTCCAACGAGTAGAAAAGACAGTGTGTTACTGAACGTAAGAGACTAAAAGTTGAATTGAGTTATTTAAAATACCGAACCATCCAAAAGTAATATCCGCGCAGCAATGAGATTCTTTGTTTGATACCGAGAGTTCGTTTAGAAATGGAAGTTTGTGGGAGAGCCAAAAAACATTTCAAAATCCGTTATAAAAAAGTTAACCTTATAATAATATTATAAAAAAAGAACTAAAACAATTGTTTACCTAAAATCTTTTGTCAGACTTTCAAAAAACGTTCCAATAAAGAGATTCCTCTGCACCGCGTCTTCTTGGCTCAGCTCTCCCCAAGGTTTAAGCAGCAGATTAGCCACAGCGTTATTCACTATGCAATTCGTATGCTTATCGGAAAACTTCAAATTCGGGGCGATGTGTATAAACTGAACCATAGCAGGGATTACGATGAGAGTTGGAGCGAAGACTAGATCGGTGAAGGACAATAACAGGTGCGCAGCGGCATGGCGAATTTTAGACGGTACCGTGTTATAGTTCCCTCTTAGGACCGGAAGTGTCAAATCCAGTATCATTTTTATTGTGTGATTGTTTAGTGTGTTCTTCTGAGTGGTCCAGGTGAGAAGAGTTTTGACCGATGAAAGAAGTTGGCTATGTCTGAAAAAAAATATAATATATTGGAATTGAAAGTGGAAAAATGACAACAACAAAAAAGCTTTTATACTTACACTTCTATAAAGCTCGTGATTAACCTAGAATCGCTCTCCCTTAATATTAGTTCGTAAAGTTTGGCCTTATTGGCCAAAGAGGCACTTTCCAACATTTTTTCTAAAACGCTATTCATGACTGGAATGGGTGATTGACCACCATCGCTAGCTTGGTCGATGTAAATTGATGATAATCTAAAACAAAGGTAAGATGAAGAAGTATGAAAATATATACATCAGTTCAAAACAAAAACAATTTATTGTAACAAATGGTTGAAATACAGAAAAAAAATAAAACAAATATACCATTTATTTCAACAAATGTTTGATAATAATAAGAATAAGACAGATAAATAGACTTCTATCTATTCTATATATTCTATATTCTAGACAGAATAATCATTCTGTCTCCGGCTTCTATACAACATGTAGCTTCTCCTTATAAATTTTAAAGTGTTTGTTTGTCTTAGTGTATTGTATTTTGTATTGTTATGTCCAAATTTTACATTTATGACATTCTACTATGTCGGATAGGTCACAACTGACGAAATGCCCCTGAAGATGATCTATTGATCGAAAGTACTTGGGCAAGATTAAATTAATCACCGTGTTCGATAGTTGCCTTGTATACCCTCAAAGTTTAATTATTCGAACATTCAACCTTATATTAATATCATTCTGTATGATGTGATGAACACACACATAAGATTTAATTTAAAAGCTTAAAAACTTAATTTTTAGAAAGTCTTTGATGACTATTAGTAATTCCAAACTATTAAATAATTTTGTAAGAATTTAAAAACAATCTCTATTTCCTATACATGACATTTGTCAACTGTCACTTTTGAAAAATAGTTTAAAGGGACCGACATTTGATTTCATTAGTTCTATTCTGTCTACCTCCTCATAGCAAACAATGGTCGGGTTCTTACACCCGTACCATGACAAAAATTTTTTAATGTGTGTGAAGTCCAGTGTCGGTTTTTTGTATGTTTTTTAAGAATTTTTAACAACTAAGTAATTAAAAAAATCAAAATTTCAACAAATAAGGAAATGATATCTCTCCATTGTAGTGGTATTTATAAATTGACGTAAGTATAAAATTAAAATCTTCACCAATTAGTTACTCATAAAAACATTTTATTGTAGCATAGCTCCGATGATGGCTTTGTAAAGCCGAAAGCGCTCAGCTAGGAATTATTAAAAAATATACACACTTCAAAAATACTTTTTTGCCTTTTCTTTTGACTAAACAGGACATGACTCACATAAACACATTATAAATATTTTACAATTTTTACACAGTAGCTTTTTTTTTAAGCGAAGACAGGAAGTCGTCAAATTTTATTACATCTTTCGGTGTAAGATAAAATTCTGTAATTGATCTAATTATTTCATTAGATTATTGAAGCAGTGAACACGTATTTTAGTGTTGTGAGCAATATGGAAGGCGAGAGCAGTCAAGTAACCGATGCCCAAAATGTTTAGATACGAAAAAAACCGATTATATACAACGTGTATTGTGGACGCTGTGAAAGGAATAAAAGTCTATTGGTCAACGATGTAGTTATTCTGTATAGTGATTTAACTAAAGTGTCGACGAGAACTATACAGAATTCTAAAAATTTTTAAACAAAGTGACGGCAAATCGGATAATGTATCTCTAGAAAATATTGAAACCAGAGGTAGAAAACGCATCCAGTTTAAAAATGACACCAAATACGCTATTCAGAGGAAATGCCACGCTGTCTTTTTTCGGAACGAAATCCCAACCTTAAAGAAAGTTGAAGTCGAATTAAATTACGATGATTCAATACCCGAAATATCCCGACGTGTTTTATTGCGAATATTAGGGCAAATAAACATCAAATATATGAAAAGAAGCAAGAACACTGTTCTTATACAAAAATATGAAATTATCTTGTGGCGGAGACATTTACAAAAAATCCGAGAGTATCATCGCGAAGGGCGAAAAGTGTACTATTAAAATGAAATTTAACTGAATCTGGTAACGATGTAGTCGCTATATCGCATTCACATTTCTGAGAATCTACTGCCTTTTTTTTCGTCTTTATAGAAGGGGGGTCTGGAATCTTCAAAAGACCCGGAGACCTCAGTCCAGGACGCCGCCTGACTGACCTTAGTGCAGGATTCGCTCTTCGTACTCCCGGCGATAGTTCCCGAGGTACTGTAAAATGCTCTCTCGTCTAGCCTACCTGCTAAACCAGACCCTCCGGAAGCGGAATGGCCGCTGTAAGGCCGGCATCACTTCCAAAGCACTACTTTCATTCATTCCCTCTCCATTCATCCACATCCACACTCCATTCATTAGCAAGGAAGCTCTATGTCTCGTTCCAGGTAGCGCGTAGAAGACCCTCATCCCTCCTAGTACGGCATCACTCCCAGGCGGACATTTCCTCCCTCCCCACAGTCTGACTCACGCATTATAACTCATACAGTCTGACCACTTTTCTAGCTTCAACTTCTAGCATCTTTCCCTCTTACCTTTGCTGTTAATCCAACTGTCTTTCTTCCTCTTCTTTTTCTTAATCACTATACGGATATAGTTGTGTAAGCTAGTCCAACCTGCTTTATTTTCAATCATTCTCTCAATTATTTCTCTCATTGTAACAAAATTCACACCTATTTCTCTTTCCATTCTGTTCCTTTCTACTTTCTACTTCTGAAATTTAAATCTTGATGATATTGACGAAACTTTATAATCACTCGAAAATAAAAAACTCTTTGTAGCAAACAAACAAAAAACGGTACTGTACTTTTGTCAATTACATTCGCAATGTGTTCATCAAATGACTCTAATAAAGTTAAGTTCGTGTAACCGTCTTTAATTACTCTGGTACTTGAATCAACAGGTGACAAAAATATGATCTTGAATTTGCCAAAAGTCCAGCAACTCTCAAGCATTTCTAGGTAATATATAGGTGAAACACAATGTAACTTACAGCTGTTGATGGTCTGTCTGTCTCTGCTACGAGAGTTTGCTGTACTTAACGAAATCGAAAAAAATCGCGAGAGAAAATACGTCTGCTTCCCAAAAAGGACGACACTAAAACCGAATCTTTTTTCCTGTTCAGAAAGTTACCAGACACTAGTTGGTGGGCGTCATATACTTCGTAGTGCTTCTTGTCTTGTTCTCCACTCGAGAATACGTTTTGTCCATCGGTCTGATAATCTGGCGACGTGCCCCGTCCAATTCCATTTTAGAGAGGGGATTTTTGTTGGCCTCTATTGATTTTGTTTTACGACATATTTCTTCGATCTATCAGAGACACCCTACATCCGGCGCTCCATACCTTAGCCTTACTAATCCCTCCCTACCTTATCTCATCCTTACCCATTAATAAAAAAAAGGTTATGAAAATTATGACAGAAAGTATGTATGTCTAATTGGACGTTTTCGAATATACCCCCCCCCCCGCGATTAAAGATAACTTTTCTATAGTCCTTACTCTGGACGGAAATACGCTGTATAAATTAGCAAAAAGCAATAAAAAGGTTTCAAAGCGATATGAGACACTCAGTAGCACCGTAAACTGTAAGATTAAATTCATAAAAAAATGAATAAGAAAAAAATTTTAAAATGTTGCAAATTGTGTGTCATATTAATATTATTCTACTTACCTAGTGAGTGTTTGCGTGAGTGATGAAAAATCCTTAAAAACGTAGCACAGTCTCTCGGTTTCAGATATTTGTAATTTTAACGACGGGTTTTGATAGTCTAGGTTCTGTTCCAAACTACGAAATATGTCGTGTGATATTTTCCATGGAGACAACTGAAAACACATCAAAATTATAGTTTTACATTAGTTTGTAACATGTAGAAAAGACGATACGTTACATTTTGTCTAAATCTCGTTTATTTTACTAAATTTTATATAACAGTATACACTTTAATTTTATGTAAGTACATATTTCTCAAGAAATTATTTTATGCCATGTTAATAAAATTTCCGTTATAGTTTTATCACCCAGCTATCTGTTTTGTCCAACTTGTCCGTTATTCAAACTAATCCCTTACAATACCCCGCAATAATTTCTTTAAAGATATTGCCGAAATACCGCAAAAAACTGTTTGTACATTTTCTTCTTTGTTTTTGAGTTATGGACAATTTTATTGAAAACTCTGACGGGGAACTGTTTTAGCCATCCAGGGGAATGTTTTTATGGGCGAAAACAGTTATTAAGTTTAATTTGACAGTATTTTTGAGACTCGAAGTTTATGACACCAATATTCTAAGTTCAAATTACATTTAATTTGCAAAACGAAGGTTTTTAAACCGTTTTGTAAGTGGCTTTTGGCAAATGTTTAATTAAGTGATAATACTACAGGTTTTTTTATTTTAACAGTGAAAATTGTATCCCTTTGTATTAAATTAAAGTAAAATTACTTTAATGCAGCACTCTGATAATTATCTGATAAAATCGAAACTGTTTTAAAAAAAATATTTGTACTCTTTTTGGATATTTTCATTAATTTAATGTACCAATTACAAAGCAGTTTTACTTATCTTTTGAATTTTGCTAACTATGGTATAGAGTCCACTAGGAATGTTCCCTTTATAAGTTTAATGATGTTTATTTACTCACCACAAGTCCAAATGTCTCCGCTGGTGCGTATTCAGCTATTATGGCTATTATTTCTATAGTAGTTTTTAGAAATATTTGCCATTCGGTTTCATTCTGAAAAACAAAATCCGTTTTTAAAAATCAATACTTTTATTTCTTGACCTACTACTTACATCTTCATCTGTATCTATGTCATTCATGAGATTTAACTGCGAAGAATTGTATGTCAACTGAATTTTCTTCAACAAAGCTGTGATCAAGGTAATAAATACATCGGAATACCTTAAAAATAGAAAAGAAAATATACTTTGTATATATGTAATCTTTTCGGAAAAAAATGTTTAGGATATAAATGACAAATTCCATAGCTTCTCAAAAAAATTACAACTAAAAAAAATGGATAACAAAAAAGAAAGTTGTGGAGAAAATTATAAAGTGAGATCTTTTTTCCCGTTTTTTGTGTTTAATTACCTTTTCACGTCGATATTATTGTATAAAAATGCTTTTAATAAAACTATATTAAACATTATCGTTAATTTTCCTACAATTCCCTACTTGAGAGTATTTAATGATTGAGTTCCCACTTACTTTTTTGCATTATCCGGTTTGATCTGCTTGGCGAACGATGCCCAAACAGTCAAGCAACACAAATAACATCTTACTGTGGGCAACTGCATGGTCAACTGAAAGAGAGGCGATAAAAACTCTATGGCAGAAAATCCAGGCTCAGATTCCAGTCTCCAAAGGTGATGTTCTATCAATAATACTAACAGCTCCGATAATTTTTCCATAAATCTATAAAAGAAATGACAAAATCAACACAGATCGTTTAATTTGGTCTCTATACATTTATTTTATTTCTCCTTAATACTCCACCAATATACAGTGTCAGAAATCGAAGAACTGAAGGGTTAACATTGTATTGAACACTGGACAGATTACATTCTGTTTTATATCGACAAAAGCGCTACGATAGAGCAGCAGATATGACAAAAGGTTTACTATCAATTGCGTCTCAGTTAACAGCAAAGGTAACATTATCGAGTGAAATGGTATTATCTGTTAAGAAGATTTGATTGTCAAATGTTACAAATTTCCATTATTGATTTTTTCGTTTGTTTATTTTTATATGTCCGCTTGTAAACCGACCCAATCCCAGTCGTACGAAAATTAGTCAAATAATAGCACAATTTGAAAACAGAGGATTTCCTAATGGCGACTCCAGAGTCGATAGAATATATAAATAAGTTAGATGTTCGTTTGTAAACATATATGTATTATGTTTTATACAAAATATATGTAAATTTAAATCTAAATGTGTCAAGTGCCATATGATAAATAAATTCGTAAAATCATCCTTCCTATCTTCTTCAGCATCTTCTCTTGGGACATATATTGAGAATATAGTGTGATTGAACGATTCTAAATGTCAAGAACAAAAATAATGTTTAACACTTTAAAAATTCCTCAAGCACAAGACATGGCAAATAAAATGAAGAGGGTGTTTCAAATTACAAATCAAATAAAACTTCCTGAAAAAAATAAAACTGGAAACTCTAGTATATATCTCAGAATATCTTCCATCCTATAAGTAGTTACTTAAAAGTTCAATGATAAAGCCATTGTCATTTAGTTCTGCAATGCAAAACTTAAAGAAAAAATTAGAAAGAGCATATAAATATATAGCATATAACTTACATGGGATCTAAAGAATCTATCCTATTTGCTGAACTAGTAATTTCTTTGAGTAGATCTACCGTTTGATGGTACAGTTGAAAATAAAAATCTTGCGTTTCTGGAGGTGTGCATTTTCTATATAGCAGCTCATTGACAGTTGACATGGCTAAAACGCACATGTCATCATCGTCCTGAAAAGTAAAGTCGTTAATATCAAATATTACAGTTTATTGATGCTGTCATCGCATATATTATCACTTAATTTTAGGGATAATACACCCGAAATAATTTCATAAAAATTTTCTTTCAAAAACAATTTTTCTCCAGTACAATATGTATGAACACTTTCTCAAAATTTTTGCAGCACCAACGCAGTTTCACTTTGCCCATTCTACAGAACGATATCTGAGGAAGCAATATCCAGTGAGAACAACTGTGATTACCCTGTTTGGGTTTTTAAAACTCCAAGAGTATTTTTGTGTAGAGAACAAAAGGTTTTAATAAAGTCTTTTTAGCCTTTGGTAGGGAACGTTTTCCAGAAGACGGTATTAAATTCCTTTGTAATTAAATTAGTAATTAATAAAAAGCAGATTAAATTCGATTCTTAGTACAAAGAGTCATTTTAACAACATATGAATTAATTGCTTATCTTTTTACAATATATATTATAAAATTATTATTTAATTTCATTTCAGTACCAGTATATCCATAAAGTGAGTAAATAACCTTGGTACTGTTTTATTGTAACAATTTACTTAACCAAGGCAGTTAAAATGGAGTGTCTCTGTGTGTGTTCCTTACCTGTGAATAAGAAGAAACGGTGGTGAAGCTAAATATGGCCCTTATGATTTGCGGCGGGATCCTCTGTATGGGAGCCCACGTGAAAAGATGTTGCACAGTCTCTAACGCCTCTTTAGTCAACGTTTTGTTATCTGGTCTAAATGCAGCAGTGACCAGCTGCTGTGACAAAGTCGGCGACGATGATGGATGTGCGGGTGAAGGCGGCGGTGTGGCAGTGGAAGTATGGCGGGGTTTTGTACCTGAAAAATCCGCTTTATTTAGAATCGTCTAGAATTTATTTAAAATATATTGTAATTTAAAATAGTAGAAACAGAAATTATAAATACTAAGATCCAGCTAACTTGATGAAACACCTAGAACAGCAAAAATATATTAAATACAAATAAGCAGGAATAATGTAAGAGGATTTTGGGAAAATGTATTATTTGTTGATGATGATCGTTTGTCCACATGGGTAGTTTCTAATATTCCTGTATACAAAAAGTCATTTTGTGGCTACCCTGTGTAATCAGTTACCAAATTTATTACTTTATAACACCACTTACGCATACTACAATAATTGAAAACAGTTTTGCACAAGAAAAGATATTTTGTTCGAAACGTTTTTGTGAAAGGTCTTAATATATCCACAAAAACCTAAAAAAAAAAAACAAAGAAAAGTAGCTTAATATATGATCAACCTTATATCAAACTGAATCTCATAAAGGGTCATACTGTTTAAAATATAAATTAAGATAGATAGTTACCTAATTCTGTAATTCTGTAAATAAAAATTAGAAACTACTAATGATACTATAATGATTATGTTAAAAAAAACAACTCTATAAACTGTGAGCATTATTGGTCTATTACACAATATGACTTTTATACACAATAATAAGTATTTTAGACTATTCTACAGTTTCAAAATACTAACTTAGATATGCACAATATTGTGCATTATATTTATATTATAAATGAGCCAAGACAAGAATTTCTGTTGTAAACAAAAAATATCTGTTACCTTGGTTCTTGGTCAATTATTTACTGCATATATTTATATAATGATCAACGTACAAAAATAAAAATAGTAGAGCTTCCTCAAAAACAATTATAAGGTCCTAATTCATTTTTCTTGTTGAGTATTGTTTTATCCGATTTCAAATCATAAAAGATTAAACATTAACTGCTGAGGACAAAAATTTTCCAGTAATATATGGATATTAGAAGAACAATAGCATATTGTCATTCTATATTGCTATACTACAAACTGAAGGGTTATATCTAAACTTATTCAATTATAAGTCTTTAAAACACAAACATTTGATTATTACTAAAGGTTCTGTTCTAAATCTGTTGATTTTATATACCTACTAGTATTATTTCTAATGAAATAAATAGTCATATCAGACAAGGGAAATAAATCTAATAACCCTATTTAGGGATAGACACACTATATGGTATAGCACTTGTGGAAATGTTATTGTGGATTTAAATAAATACCAAATATGTGATTATTTAAGCCTTTATTTAAAAGCTAGGATATTTACAAAATTATAGCTATATTAAATATATACAACCTCCTGACTAGCTGGCTGCAGCCATTTTTGGTGTTCTAGTAGAACCTGTTAAAACATCTCAAAAATGGATATTTAAAGAAATAAAGAACAAATAACAAGAATCCTTCAAGGGTTTTTATACTGTGTGTTTGAAAATCAATAAAACTTTGTAAATAAATAAAAATCAAATATCTGACAGAAAAAGATTATGTAATAATAAAAAAACTTTTCTGTAAATTTATCTTCAAAAGTTGTTGAACTCATTATCAAACTAAAGTAACAAGAAATATCTGCCAAACAAACATTTCTGTCATATCTACTAATGTATTATGTAGCAACAAAAAAATATATCTAAATTATTTTATCATTTCTTGATTTTGAGTCCAACTCATCTTATTCTGACAAATTGGATTGTTAATTTAGATATTTAAAGTTGACATTTATTTAATAGACTATAATACATCCTAATAACATTGGTAAAGGCAACTCTTTCGAAAGTTGAGTGCAAAGTCAAGGTACAAAACAGAGTGTCAAGGTCTTTTCAAACACATACTGGATTACGCCAGGGAGATAGTCTATCATGCCTATTGTTTAATATCGCGCAAGAAAGAGCCATAGGGAAATAACAACCAGAGGTACAATCATCAATAGAAGTGTACAGATATTGGCTTACACAGATGACATTGACATAGTAACATGGACAAAAAGAGACCTGATACAGGCTTTTGAAACATTTGAAAAAGCCGCAAAGACAATGGAACTGCAAGTCAATGTGTCCAAAACAAAATACATAAAGGTCATGAACATCACACAAATAGCAGTACCACAAGATCTGGTGACAGAAGCACATAAATTTGAAGGGGTCTTGGAGTTTATATATCTTGGAAGACAACTAAATAACAGCAACCTAGTAAGAGTAGAAATTAAGAGAAGAATATACCTGGTGAACAGAGCTTACTTTGGACTAAAGCAGTTCTTAACATCACACATAATTAGCAGAAAACCCAAGATACTAATATATGAAACTCTTATTAAACCTGTCCTGACATACGCGTCAGAGACATGGACTATGGTAAAAAGCAATGAAGAACTGTTAGGTCGCTTTAACAGAAGAATACTTAGGCACATATATGGAGGAGTACAAGAAAATTTGAGTTGTATCAATGAAGGCCCATCCAGGGTTGTAGAGCCAAAGATGATGATGATGATAATACATCCTGACAGAGCCTTCCTTGATAATGTATAAAATTTCAAAAAAACTAACTGTAATGAAAAAGTTCCAAGGGTGCAAGTGAATTTGGATGAATACTAACAGAATTACCAATACAAGTTTACTAATTAGTCAACTCTAGCAATACCAGTTACTCTATCATATTATAATATGATATCATATCATCACATTAAAATCTACCATATTAAAATAGCCCAAATAATTAATTTATTCTGTTAGTTGAAAAATCTCAGGTCTACAGTGGGAACAATAATTAATAAAAAAACCCCACATATTTGTTGTAAAAAAAAATTCTCACCTGATTTTCACAAATTTTGAAGTCAACATAATTTATAGGTACCTTTTTTTTTAATTTAACAAGGACAGAAAAAAATGTATTGAAATTGTCTAGACTGCAATTGATTATTTAACTTCCAGAGAAATTTAAGCCTACACAAACAATAAGTGATAAAAGTCATCCAACTGTCATATCAACTAAAAAAGTCCCAAAAAAGACTCTATGTATCTAATAAAAATTTCTTTTATCTTAACTAACAAATAATTAGTGAGATAAATAAAGTGACTTACCTAGATTGTCTAAAATGTTTGTCAACATCTCAAACACTACAGGAATGTATTGTTGTAACAGTCTTAGAACTTCGTCTTTCCTTCTACTACTTTCATATGTTGCTTGTATACCCATAAACTCCTCACTACTTGTTTTTAGCAAAATCAATCCCACTAATTGACTTGGTTCAGCTTTTAATAACTGAAAATGAATCAGATATTTAACAAAAATTTATCACAATTAATTTTTAATGCAATTATATCTTCAATAAAAATCAAGTACACTATTTATTTATAAGTGTTTATCTAATTCAATCTTACCTCTAGAATATTGTTAAAAAAGTTTGGGTATGTACTTGGCCAGTCATGTTTAGCTATATCCACTAGTAGCTTAGCATATTTAGTTCTAAAAAAAATGTGGGGAAGAATGTCCATTTTCTACTAGAAAATTTTGCAGTACAGTTTTTATTTCCTCTTTAGAAGACCACTCAGTGTTAGCCCATTGTTGGTTTATCACAGACTACAAAATCAAAGTTTTAGTTATTTATTATGAGAGTCATTAACTTTATATTCACAGAATATATTGACAACATATCAAGGTTTTTACAAACTTATAAGAAATTACATGATTATTAAATAATATATGTTAAAACTTATTAAGGTGATATATTACGATGCTAAGTTACCTCCAATGTAGATAAGGCAAACATTTTTACGTATTGGCTGGATGTGTTAGTAATGAAATAAATGCAGTATCTCCACAGATGTGGCAAAGACTTAAAGTAGTTCAATTGTATTTCTATGTCATGTTTTCTACTATTACTTGTTTGTGGATTAAAAAATTCTTCCATTAAATGTTCCAAAGCTATTAGGGATCCATTATCTCGAGGATCCTACAAGAAATTGTTTGATCATTTTCCACCAGAAGAAGGAACAATAAAAATTTTAAGAAAAGAAAATCTTTGTCTTTTTTGTATAAAACAAATGATTTTGCTGCTTACCATGATTAATATACTTATTTAAATGTTTATATATTTAGCACTTTTCGTTTCAGAACGCGGATTTTAAAAGAAAAAAGGGAAAATTGAAAAACTTTTACAATTAAGTTCCCTACCCTAAAGTACACTTTGATTTGACAGTGACAGATATTTAGACGTCACGACGTCATTATGTCGTCATTTTCAATTTTCAATCAGATGATTTCGAACAAGTAACCACATCTACAAATTGCCATAATCTTTCAAGTTGTTAGTTTGGCTTCTGTTCTATTAAATACATTTCATTTAAAAAAATGGAATTAAGAAATAAAACCATTTGGGCAAGACTGTGGTGTATTTATGCTAAATATCTAATTTAAACTTTATCGACAATTGACAGTGACGTTTACCTTTCGACGACATCTGCTGTTTGTTGTAAAAATGAAAACGTGATAAGATAAAAATAAAAATCGAAACCAAATAATCAAAATGGTTTCACTTTTTGAAAATTATGAACAGCAATATTCAGTGTTAACAGCGGATATAACCGCTCAAGTTGGCCTCCTGACAGCTTCAGCTACTAGTATGTATAACAATTTCTAATATTATTGTTTAAATTTTTTTCATTCCTGTTAAAAAAAGTAGGTTAATATTCAATTGTTTTTTCACAGAAGACCGACGACAGCTAATCTCGAATATAGAAAAACATCTCGAAGAGGCACAAGAACTGGTAAGTACATTATCTACCTTTACAGAAGTTTATTTAGCTTTGTGGTATTACATATGCAAATGGTCCACCCAAACCATTTGAAAGGATTAGTGCTTTTTTATTAGGAGATCTATAAATGGAATATTAGACATTATAAGATTTTTAAAAAGTTATAACTTAGTTGACTAACTGTAATTCAATACATAAGTAGGAATTATTTTGTTTTTATTTAATTTAAAATGGTAACTTTCATGTTGTCCATTGCAAATGCAGATAATGATAACTTACTATCATTTTCTACTTCAAGGATCTAGGCCCATTGCAAATACATTATATGTAGTACTAATTTCTCCTCTATGTCTTAAGCAATGATAATATTGTACCATCTTAAGATTTTAAAACATTTCCTGATTTAATTTTGTTCTACCCAAGGATGCAGGGTGCAGAGCTGTTAAGTAGAGTAGGAAATTACTGATATGATGCTGATAATTGCATTCAAAAGAATGTTGTCAGAAATTCCGTTCCTTACAATGACATTTGGATTTATATAATCTACTATATTAATACCATATTTAATCAATTGGTTAAATATCTTAAAGTGGACTATTTATAATTATCTGACATATTTTACTTTAGAAATATTTTGATTTTAGTTGGAGCTGATGGATCTGGAGGCCATGGAATTGGAACAGTCAAAGAAACAAAGGTGTAGGACAAAGTGTGATTGTTATAGAGCCGAACTAAAAAGACTGACATTGGATTATATAAAGGCTAGATCAGTTAAACAAGGAATCTTGTATGACAGTTCAGAAGATTTAAATGATATTAGAATATCCTCAGATCAAAAACAAAGACTTTTAGATAATTCAGAACGATTAGAAAGGACAAGTAAGAAACTAGAAGAAGGATATAGGGTTATAGTAGAAACAGAAGAGATTGGGATTGATGTGTTGAAAAATTTAGGTGAACAAAAGGAATCCATTCAGAGGAGTAGACAAAGGGTAAGTATATGTCATATCATTGAATGGAACCATAGAACTAAAAGTTCTTTCTCATCTCAGTTGGCCCAACTATTTAAATCACAGTTTTTTGGTCACTATAAAAAACTATATATGAATTTTTAATAGTATTCAATGGAAAAAAACAATTTAATTTTGTTAGTTTTATGAACTTTGATAATAATATAAAAAATGAAAAAAAAAATAAAATATTTCCTGTAGTGGATGAATCCAATGTAATTTTATTATATAAATGGACAATTGAAATTATCTATTTATAAACTTTGAAGTCTCCTAGTATTTGTGTTGTAAGTGTTCTTTGGAGTGATGCTGTTTGTTAGATGAAGAATTTTTGTATCCACATGTCAGAGAGAGACTCAAAGTTAGGATTTAGTACATGCAACATAAGTTACTTGGTTAAAAAATTAATGAAAACTGCACTGAGTATTTAAAATATTGCTGTATGCTAAAGAAAAACCACTTTTGATGTCACAATAAATGAGAAATACAGTAAAATGAGCAAAAGAGCCTAAGGACTGAACTTTTCAATTTTCAAAACTACCTACATTGATGTTTTTGGGGCAGTATGTCATCTAAAGGTATAGGAAAACTTTATTATTGAATGCATTTTAAGTAGATACAAGCAACTATTTCGACATTTTAGAAGAACCTCTTTGGCTGATTATGGAAAAATGTTTGAAATAAGAAAAAGATTTTTTTTCTTCCAATAGAACATTGCAGGGTGCATCGAAAGAGAATTTAAGTTTTAATGTCGTGCTTAGGAAATTAATTCCTCTATAATTTTCAGTAACCATCTTATCTCCCTTTTAAAACATAACTATAGTGGTGCTAGTTTGCCCTACATTTGTGATTCTATATTGGTAGAGGATTTTCTGAATGTATATCTTAGCAGTCATTTGGGATTCTATCCTGTCCAGGCATTTTTCTATTTAATTTCTTGAGGCAACATGATCATAGAGCTACTAGATCCACCCAAATATTACCATTACATTACCATTTAGGTGAGGTAATGAACCAATAAACCTACCACCATCAATGATGAGAAATGATAAATTTGTAAATTGGAAATAATTGATGGAAATGAGTTCAATGTTATTACTCCAGGGTTTTTGGGGTCAATGAAGGCGATGTTCTCTGAGGCACCTGGGCCTTGTCTTCCAAAGTTTTTTTTTTAATTTAATACAAAATCAGTGCAAATAAATTACTCAGGGGTTTGTTGGGGTTGCTGAATACTAATATCATGTCGGGGATGGTGTGAGAGGCATCTGGTTTCCAGGGCGGGCCTCGTATCCTAGAGTTTTGTGGAAATTCGTTATAAAATCAGTGAAAACTCGTTACTCTGCGGTTTTCATGCTTGCTAGACAGTAATATCATATCAGCGATAGTGGCTGAGACACCTGGGGCACAGGATGGTCTCGGCTACTGGAATTTTGTGTAAATTAGATACAAAATCTATGAAGGTCCCCGCTAGTCTACATACGGTTCCACTTTTTTTTATAATAGCAAGGGCATGCGTACAACTTATGGATTTCCTTTCTTTTCAGACCCACAAAGGTCTACATTAAAAATATAACTCACCCGACACAATTGTGTTACTATAGTATAGTATAATATATTAAGTGCTCTATAGTCTGTCCCACCTTGACTTTACAGTACAGGTTCTTATGAACAACAATGATGCCAAATTTTAAGAGAAACAGTTTTGAAGCAAATATACTTTTTTCTCTATTATAACTAATAATAAGTAAGGAAATAATAATTTTTACATTTTGTGGCTGTCAGGGGCTCTAAAATGATTTTTTTTTTTCAAAAAATACCTTCATGTGAATAAAATAAAAATAATTTTGTATAAAACATTTGTATAATAATGTAATTAACGCATAAATATTTTAAACCTTAATAAATACGTAGGTACCTACATAAATAATTAAAATGTATTTAAACTGTGTATTTTACATTTCTTCTACACTCCCATCTGCATATCATTAAAAAATTGCTGATTACTTTTCGAAAATGACTATCACTCACAAAAAACAATGAAAAACATTGTTTTACTACAATGCTATTGGCTGTAACGGGTTAGTTTTAATTTAACATTTTTAGGACACTGGAAATGTTTGATTAAAAATTCTTTTGAAGAAAATCATCATGCTGTATGCTCGTGAACTGTAAAGTCAAGGAGAGACAGACTTTTCATATAATTTCTTCGTCTTCATGTGATTTCCTATTATAATATTGATTGATCACAATATACAAATCTGCTTTTAGTACATTTTCTTCCAAAATATTTTGCTATTCATGACTATTTAACTATCGAATTGATGCTTTCATTCGTTTTGATTGTAGCTAAGAGAAGCTGATGAAGAATTAGGAAGGTCAGGGAGACTGATGAATTCAATGATCATGAGAACCATTCAACAGAAAGTTGTAATCTACATAATCTGTGCCTGTTTTGTTGTAGCCATATGCTTAGGAGTTTATTTGGGAGTCAGAAGAAGCTAAGGAATACCCAGATAAAGTAGCTTAGTGGAAACTTGTTCAGTTTTTATACATTAGATCAACATGAGTATTTTATATATTTTTAACATTGCTATAAGAAAAGGTGTTAGAAAAACATCTTAGAATTTTATCTATGTAGGACACCTCATATATTTGTGATTAGAAATGAAAGATATATTTATTTTAAATCCACTAGGGAAACAGGAAGATTGTTTAATATAAAATTTTTTCTTTATTTTATAAACATATATGAATAACATTAAGATTAGCTAAGAAAAACTGTCACTAACCTATGTTGTTGAAATTAAGTAGACAGTCTGAAATTTTTTTAACACATTTTGATGCGTTCATACGACCTCAGCGGCTGACTTGAAGCACAAAGCGGCTTAGATCCAGCAGACAAAAACGAATTTGTCTCAACATTTCATTTCATGTTTGATTTTTCGACAAATCTAACCACAATATTTTCATAAATGCTTCTATAAATACATATACTAGTTCAGTACCAAACTGTACTTTCATTATTCCATTGTAAATCAATTTTTTAGATCAATCGAATTCCAAAAACTCTTGAAAAATTAAAATTGTTATTGTGTACCACGCATGCCCAAACAACCGCTGAGTTCATCGGTGGTTTATCCAGCGGAAATAAAGTAGGCTTAGTAAATTCAACAGCGGCTTGCTCTGGATGCGTCTGGACGCTACCGCTTAAGGTCGATTCAGACACAGTCACGTCTCGTCACAGTGATTGCGCCGAACCGAACAATCCGTCATACAAAATATTCTTTAATACAAAATGTTGCCGGCATTCACACTCATCAGTTGACAAACAGTTTCCCAGCTGTCAGATAGTTGATAGTTCTGTGACCAAACAGGATCGGTTCGGCGCCGAGACTATGACGGGACTGATGTGTCTGAATCGACCTTTAGTCAGCTGTTTAGCCGCTAAGTTCAGCTGAACGCACTCTGTTCCACTATTCAAAAAAACTATTATGAAATAATTCAACAAACGCATATTTACCTCGAAAAAACTTTTTGTGAAAGAACTGTATGTGAATATAAAATCATTTTATATAAATCATTGTTTAATAGGTATAAAATACTGACTACAGTAATATAGACTAAGCCAAAATAACTATTTATTTACAATAATCAATGCTGGATATTAAGAAACTGTCAGTTAATGACTTATTTATTGTTTATTAGTAAAGAAATACCCAAGAAGTATCGTAGAGTATCAGTAGTTTATTTGATATTTATAAATAAGTTGATAAAAGACACACGAATAACTAGTTCTCAAATTTTTAGCACAGTAAAAGGATATGTTGGTATTCTATGATACTTTTTGCAAACATTGAATCGTATTTTGCGTTAAAAGTACTGAAATTTTCTGCATTTAATTTTTAAACTACACAGTGGCAACCTAAGTCAAATATTTTTATCAAGGGTCAACCAAAAATATCGGTTTTTGGATTAAAATGTAGTATAATATATGACGTAAGTCAGTTGTCAACATATAACCTTACTTTTAATCAAACGATCGGAAACTTAAATAATTTTTTATTTAATCTATAATGTAAACTAATAATAACTGTTTATCTTTGTAGACTAGTATTATATTTTATATTTATTGTATGTGAGAAAAATTTTTGCGTACATTCAAATTTTGTCGCCATATTATAACTGTAACTTCGAAAACAAGCAATGTTTTATAAAATAATTTTGATATTATGCATTTAAAAATTATATTTTATATCTGACACTATCATAAATTAACAAAGTAAAAAATATGCTGGATGTGCAAAATGTTCATGGGTAATAGTGATATTAAATAAAAGAGTTACAAAATAAAACAAGTTACTTGATATTAGTAGCTTGGTTTTAAATAAAATCAGGTAAAATACCATCAGACTGGCTAAAATCAACATTCGTAACATTCCAAAAAAATCCAATGCGTTACACTGCGATGACTATTTCCAAGAAGTGTGAGTTTTACTTGAGTGACACTCATAGAAAAGTTATACTGGCGTCAAACAGCGACAACTTGCATAAACGGAAAATCAACAAAAATATGTAAAATACAAAGAGGTGTCAGACAGGGTTGTATACTATCCCCACCAATTTAATTTATATTCAGATAGAATATTTAAAGAAGCGCTGCATAATTTGGAATGGGGCGTGAAAGTTAATGGAATTCTGATAAATACAATCAGATATGCAGTCGATACAGTTATTTTAAGTGATGACATGAATGGATTACAATGCCTTTTAAATGCCATTGATACAGTGGGAAGAGAGTTTGGCCAAAACATAAACTGTTCAAAAACAAAACACATGGTGTTTAGCCGTTTAGCACATCAAGATGCACGATTATATGTTGATGGTCATATAATTCAAAGAGTGTCCAGTTTTAAATATCTTGGTTGCCATATTACTGAACAACTAGATCCAGATCAAGAGATAAAATGTAGAATCGAAATAGCCCGCACGACATTTTTAAAAATGAGGTCATTCTTCTGTAATGATAACTTGAAACTTCAACTTCGAAAGCGTATGGTTAAATGCTACATTTGGTCAGTTCTCTTATACGGTGTCGAAGCATGGACATTAAAAATATCCACCATTAATCGTCTGGAGGCCTTTGAAATGTGGCTGCACAGACGTATACTAAAAATTCCATGGACGGCTATGCTGACAAATGTGGCAGTCCTTGAGAGAGCAAATGCTGCTCGCGAGCTGCTTGATAACATCAAATGTAGAAAGATGGCCTATTTTGGACAGTAAGACAGAATTTTGTAGTAAGGGGAGACCGATATAATATTCTTCAACTTATTATGATGGGTAAAATCGAAGGACGCAGAGGAATTGGTAGAAAGCAGGCCTCTTGGTTGAAGAATATCAGAGAGTGGACAGGAATAAAGAAAGCTGAGCAACTCTTTAGAATAGCTCGAGACAGAGACAGTTTCGCCATGTTAATCGCCAACTTCAAGGGGACTTAATAGGGCACGTTAAGAAGAAGAAGACACTCAATTCGGATTTCGAAATAGATTGGGACACGAGAAGCTCTTTTTGCCTTAAATATGTTAACACAACGATGCAGAGACATGAATGTATATGTATATGCATGTCGTCAACTGGAATTGACGAACAAGACTTGCGAATTACCTCAGATCTATCTATCTATATTGGCAACAATTAAAATAGAGCACACAATATCCTAAGATATACGAGGAGTGTGGATATTCAGAAAAGCATTAGATGAGATCCAAGGTGGAATCAAAATTAACGGAACCAGCATAGACAACATCAAGAAGATTAAATAAAATCTTTCACAATCTTCATGACACTCGGATTCAACAAGACGGGTCCACATACCATACAGTCCATGAAACAATGCAATTACTCCATAAGACATTTCCTGGTTGTGTACTCACTCGTTTTGGTGATCAGAATTATTTGTCAACAAGCCTACAACCACATGTGCATTGAAGGAGCAATTTAATACTGCATTAATGAAAATGGTCATGGAAATTTTCGACAAAAGAGTGCGCATGTGTCAGTATAGCCGTCAAAACCATTTGTCTGATATGCTATTCATATGTACTTTATGATTTAACAGAAAAATTACAATCTAAAGAAAAAACAATGTTTTCTATTCAATTAAAATTTTGCATACATTTTGAGATACCTTTTATATAAAATTCACTCAATACTGGAACATTTTGGCTTTGATTGGCATACGAAAGATCCATTAATGAATTATTTGGGAGTTATCTGTGATGATGGTCATATTAGATGGAAAACCATTAATTTAAGTTAACCTAACCTAAAACTAGGAATTTTTGAAGTCATAGATTTATAATACCTAGACAGCGTGCTGCAATATAAACCAGTGATTATATTGCAGCATATATTTTTCGACTGCTCGTATCTTTTTTCTCTGTCGCACTGGGGAACGGGTCTTGATTGCAGTACGCTATCTATGTTTGAAGTGCTATGCGTTGACAATGGTCCAAATTTACTTTTAAAAAGTTGATGTATCATTTTTCTGTACTTTTAACTTTTCCCATCGCATAACCAAATATATTATTTTGCTGATTTTAACTAAAACTCTGTATATTTCATTTTTGTTAGAGATGTAAGACTTTCTGTCCGATTGACTGGCAAAATTAAAGCTTTAAGAACAATATTTAATATTATTGTAACAAAACACGGTAATTGAGTGTATTAGGAAGTTAAGTTCAGTTTATTTAGCTGCCGATGTTCCTACTAAATGTTTTTCTTGTTCATGCTTTTTCTTAGATGTTTTTAGCTCGTGTGTAGTAGCAAGACAAGTTCTGGTTTGTATCAGAATCCAACAGGTCTCTTACATTTTCATTATATATCTCTAAAAAGCTGGAAGTAACCACATAATAGCCACAGTAAAAGTCATGAAATTACTACCGATACAAAAATGAGACTAGTAAGAAGTCTAGTTTTCCAGTTTTTACTTATGCATCGGAATGCTGGACCCTTACTGAGAAAGACAAAAAGAACATAGATGTATTTGAGATGTACTGCTGGAGACGAATGCTGAGAATACCATGGGTGGCCCGAAGAACAAATGAATCCATACTGGTCCAGCTAAACATAAAGAAAAGACTAAGAACACAAATAACAGAACAGATAATAAGCTATTTTGGACATGTGCTTCGAAGAAATGGTCTTGAAAAACTTACCATCCAGGGAAAGTAGAAGGCAAAAGAAGTAGAGGTAGATCTCCTACACGATACACGGACCATATTGTTGCTACCATTGGCGCTCCATTGTCAGAATGTGCTAGATTGGCAGAAGATAGAAAAACGTGGAGGAACATTGGAAAAATTACCTAACAGCTTCATGATATCACGATACCTGCATCAGGTTAACGACTAAGAAGAAGAAGAAACCACATATTGCCATTTACAACTTTTCAAGTCTTTGATCCTGTCGAAAATTAAATTAATGGTTCTTGGAATCATTCC